ACTGTCCTGCCCTGTTAATACACCATTAAATCTCCTTTGCAGAGGAGAAAAATAAACATATTCCTGCAGTGCCACACACTTTCTTTAATGATCAGGACTAAAAGAAGAAAAAGGCTTCAGCAGATTTACTACCTAATGCATTCATGTGATTCAATTAACAGTCATACCTGAGTGTTTGTTTGATCCTGCTGCAAGATGTCTTGTTTTCTTGAGTCCAAATGTCAGGAGCTAGTTTTCCGCTTTCTGTTTGTACGTCCTCTTCGGTCCTCGAGGTTTGAAGTCACTTTGTCCTCATATTTGAAAAATCCCTTGTTGGTGGAATTCAAACTCAGAGGAGTCTGCAGGCGGTCAGTCCTGCAAAGCAATGCTGCTAAATGAGCCTCTTTTCCAATGCTCAGATTCTGACCCAATCTCCCCTTTATTGATCAGGCATGAAACCAAGCTGTGTCCTCACTGTGTCCTCCTCTCCTCTTGTTTTGGTCCTGCTGCTGCCATGCTCACTCCATAATCACAACACAGCAGTATGCTACTGTATGCTGCCCTCCAACACACTCTGTCCTACTATGTCTTGCCTTTTTACCTCCTCCTCCTCCCCTCCCTCTCTCTCTCTCTCTCTCGCTCTCTCTCTCTCACCCCCTCTCCCTCTCTCTTATTTCTGCCACTACCCTCCTTCCCAGAATGCATGCATCCTGATCTACAGCTGGGTGGAGAAAGAGAAGGAGAGAGAGGGAGAGACACAGAGAGAGGAAGTGACTTGCATCAGTGGGGTAGGGACTGTGTGTAAATTACCGTGCAACTTAAAAAGCAGGAAAACGAGCCGACAGCTGTAGTAAAGCACATGGAAATGTAAACAAAGCTGCAGAAGTCTGACGAGGCAACAGAGGAAAATAACTGTGAGAAAATCATTTTAAAACCATATTTGATCTGGTTTCTATATTTAAAACATGAACAAAAACAGTATCTGAAGATTATCACTGATATTAATTGATATTAATTGACATTCATTTCACATTCTTTACTGGCAGCAGACTTGCCTGTAAATGATCTTCTAGTTGATTCTGTTTGTTAAGAAAACAAACTTGTTACATCTGAACAGATATGAAGCTGGTTTCATTCATAATTAATTCACTGTTAATGTCAATTTATTTTTACATTATGACTGCCGTCTTAGCTGTGGGCATACAGTGCGGTTCGTTTGTGTTCAATATCATCAGAGGCAGAGAAGGTTTATTTTTTTAATTTGACATGGATGTTACATTCCAGCACTTCTACTACATGTCAGAGGCATATATTTCACTTTTTACCCACATTTCTTTGGTAAGTTAGACCTATTAGAGTTTTACCAGTTATGTTGTCAAATTAATTATGATGTAGGTTTTTTTTTTATTTAAGTTGAGATAAGGCTTTATTGATCCCAGGGGAAATTAAGCAGCAGAATATAAAATTAGCTCCACCTCTACCAGCTGCAACATTCAAGTGATTTGCACAATAATGCATCAATAATTATAAACCAATAATATAATAAATATTATTTTGAAGTGGATCATGGTGAAAAATGAATACTTTCAGTACTTTGGTCCATTTATTAAAATTTTGAATGCACCACTTTTACTTGGAATAGAGTATTTCTATATCGTGTTATTGCTGCTTTCAGAAACGACCTGAGTACTCCATCCACCACTGGTAAATAACACTGGAACTCATAGAAATAATGAGTAGACAGATGAATACATGTCACTGATGAACAAGGCAAAGTTAATTTAAATGAAACAAATGAATTAGGCTACAGTTGTTGTATTGGATTAATCTGAATTTGATACCTAAACATTTCAACATACTTTGCACAGCCAGTGCAAATTCCTCTCACGCAGTAACTCCATCACAAACAGATGCCCTGCAGTGAAGAGGAAATTCAATTATCTGTTGTGCACCTCCAGGACAGTGTATAGTAGGAAGAGGCCTGTCAGTAATCGCAGCTCTCCTGATCAGAGTGATCTGCAGTGAAAGTACAGCCGTTTCAAACTGTCCCGCGGTGAGCTCTGTCACTATGAATTCTTGTTCTGTGCAACAGCAAAGAGTAGTGGAGTCTGTCTGACAACTTCTGTGAAGACAACAATCAAGACAAATTAACACAAAGTCAAGGAAAGTTGTTTTAAACTTTATGACCTGAAAAACTGCCCTATTTTTAATTTCATTAATTAGTTTGAAAGCCCCCACAAAGAGCCCGTGATGGAGGCCGCTGTGTCACAGCTGATGTGCAGACATGTAACTTTGTTCATAGAATTTATTGAACCCACTAAGAATCAACCTCATAACCTGAGCTTCAGTTTAATTAGACTAACTTGTGTGCTCACCTGGAAAACCCCTTTAAAGTCTGTTCAACATCTGTCTACTGAAAAGAAATTTACAAGCAAGAAGAGAATGAGAAACAAAATATTCACTTTATAGCCCCATTAAATGAGTTAATGTCAGTAAATGTTTAAACCCTTTCAGATATCAGGTGGACAATTGCCTGTAGTTATCAGTAATTAATAAAATGGACTGTTTCTGTATTGAAATAATGGGTTCATAGTTGAGGATGCCTGAGTTGCTGTGTTCAGTAGATTGCACTCATATTCCATCACTGCAGCTCTGGGGAACATGAAGCTGACTTTGTGAATAGAAAATTCTTCCATAGCCTCAAGGTGATTACACAATATTGTATCAGTGAAATTTCCTACCGTGCATTAATAACATGGCGCAACAGTTTTACTGACACTGTAAGAGTTTTGTGTGGTTTGCATTTATTCATCCTAACAGTTGGTATAAAAGTGTGTAAATATTAGGAGTCAGTTTTTTTTCTCTAATTCCTCATTTTTGGAGTCGCTGTTCTGTGATTGATGATGTGCGTTACAGGAGTGAAAACGGGCTCATGATGAGTCATGACTTTCGCTCAGATGAAACTAAAAGAAAAACAGAATAAAGGAAGGCAGTTGTACCATGTTCACTGCAGGTACAGTAGGTGACAACCTCAAATATGCTCCATGTTAAAACAGCTGAAACTTTATTTCTCAGTGGCAAGACATTGATTTCAGTCAAAACCATGTCATCTGGTTTACAGAACTAGTTATATTTAACCAAGACCAGAGAGGTTTCTTGTGGTGATTTTCACCATGATGGTGAACAGGGACCTTGGCGTGAAGGTGTGGCGTGAAGGAACATTTTAATAGTTTAGTGCTGATGCAGGGTTAAAAACGTGTCATGCAAATAAAATATGAAATGCACAAAGGTGATGAATGAACAGGATTTTCCATTTATTTAAAGCTGCATTTATAAAAAACAGCCACTAGGGGGCAGATGAGCCTCAAACTGATCTCACAAAGATTTTAAGGAGGATTTGAAGTATGCGTTATTTTTGAAAACAGGAAACAGTGGATGGTGGATTACATCATTTTGATATCACATACAGTAAATGTACAAAAGATATTCTGTTTGTTTTGTTACATATTTATTGAGGCTTTGATTGTCACCACAGAAAAATAATGCTACTTTATATCCACGATTTCTGCCTAATATAACTAATATGGAGGATGTGTAGTTCATTGCTGAAGAATGTAGAGTGTGAGATTATGAGACTAACTTTGTTACCCAGCTTCCTTTTCACACACACACACACACACACATGCACGCACACACACACACACACACACACACACACACACACACACACACACAAAAGAATGTGGGATGTTGTATAGGATATGAACAATGTGGGTCAGTTGCCAGTTCCAGCTTTGATCAGTAGGTGGCAGTATTGCTGGACAGATGGACGTTGAGGAGGAGAGAGCGAGGTGTGAGTTGATGATTTCTCCAGTTTACAGACAGATGGAGCCCTTGTTGCAGACATCAACAGTTTCCTGCTTCCTAGACATTAAAACTGAGATCTCTTTGTTCAAATGGAGGAAAGGATTAAGTTCTGCCCCTCTGTGTTGTGCTCAAATTCCTGCTAAAATGTGCAGATACAATGTTGACCTTTGACCTCCAGTTCGGCGGAGAACTCCAAGCACCAAAGGAGATGTGTCCGATTTCTGAATTGCTGATTGTTGGTTCATTTTTCCTCAGTCATAAGGTCAGCACATGGATGAAGATCCACTGCCCTTATATTTCTCCATCTGTTTCCCATCAGGTTGATCCCACACTGTTTCTCAGTTGGCAGTTGGACGGGATTAAAATGTGTTGCAACAGAGTTTGTTCCTGCCAAAAAAACAAGGATGTTTATGACTTTGCTGAGTTGAACTCAAGTGGTTGGAGGGGATGATTGAGTAAGTTTTTTTTTTTTTTTCTTCCAAATTGCCCAACAGTGCAAGGACAAAATGTCTCAGTTTATGGCCAGAGATTTCAGGAAGACTAGAGGAATTTAATACTGTCTGATTGGAAAGATTAGAAATGTAAGTTTAGCAGCCTCTGTTGCTTTACTCCCTGCATGAATAAACCCTTTACATACAGTGCTTTCACAAAGTATTCACATTTTATGTTGCACCCTTATTCTAAACTAACATCAATCAAATCATCAGTCTACACTCAGTACTCTATAATGACAAAGTGAAAACTGAATTTTAGAAGTTCTTGCACATTTACTTTAAAGGAAAAACTGAAACATCACATTGATGTCAGTGTTCAGACCCTTTAAATTCAGCTCAGGCTCCTCCATTGCTCATATTCATCTCTGAGATGTTTCCACACCTAACCCTAACCCACCTGTGGTAAATTCAGCTGATTGGACATGATACTCTGCAGGCAGGTCCTTCCCCCCGTGGCTTTCCTTTTCTAAAATTTTTAATGGGACTCTAAAAACAATTGCGTTGATGATAAAAACTTAATTCTTCCACCCTCTTATGTTTCATTAGCAGAGCTCAGTGTTCCTCAGTGATGCCACAGAGAGCTCAGTGAATTTCTCCAGGAAGTGGACTGAGGTTGAAACGATGCTCAGTTGTTAGTTTGACATCAATTCATCACACAGCTTAAGATATTTAAGAAAAACTTTATTTGTGACTTATAAACAAAACACATTACCAGATTGATTAAATCATAAGAATCACTATTATCACCTTTACAATGATAAGCAGGTGTACAAAAAAGTTATTAACAGATCTGCACTGTCACAGTCGACTGGCCTGTGTCACACCCAGCGACTGAGGAACATTCACTATACACAAGCAGAGAATACATCAACTTTATTTTTTTGGACCATTTTATATATTTTGATATTTTTTTCCTTGTTTTTCTGCTTTTTCTCTACTGGGCGAGGAATAGATATGGAGGGTGAGTAAATGATTTTATTTCACAACAGTGTTTGATGTTTGATCATCGTCTCAAAGCTTAACACAAGTTAAAGAATCGTTTTTCTTATCTATGAAAATCAAAAGGGTAAAAACAGAAAAAAGGCATTTCTTAGCATAACACAATAGCATTATGTATATCTAGAAGATTAAATTCATTTTCAACAGGATAAAAAATGTGATTCTTTCAGGTTTTTCTACAAATTACTGTTTGCAATAGAGTACATGTATGTATGAATTTATGTGTGTAGATGAGTGTGGGTCTTTCAATGTGCGTGTATCGTCTTTGAGAATGTGTATCAGAGGTATATGTATTCCAATACGCATTTCCCAGTGGAAAAACATATCTATGTATATATAGTATCTATATAGTATCTGTTTCCTTTGCTTATAACATGCAAACAGCCACTTGGTGATCTGACAGCACAGAAGTACACCTGAAGGACGGGGCGGGGGGGGGGAGAAATGTGTGCATGGGAGGGATTGAGCCTGATAGCAGCACCTATACACCCCTACTGTGACTGGTAATACGATGGTTCTTAAAAAGAGGAACACTGAGGTGAGGTTTTATGACATGTTTCATCATGTAGATGCTCTTCCAGTCTCCACTGCCTTCAGTACCCTGCCTGTGCCACACTGGATCTGGGTTTCATAATATCGGGGTCAAATAAAGTTGATCAATTCACACTTGGGTCACTGCAACTTGTTAAAGTTTCTTGGACATGGCACTTCCCAGCAGCCTTTGCTTCTAATGTTTATGTGCAGCAATTACGCAAAGGAATGTATCATTGTCAGATCTTCCCAGCTGTTTTATTTTTACTTTCTGGTGCTGTCTTTCATGTTGTTGCCTCGCGGTGGTGCACCATAAACAATGTTAACAGTGTGTTTCTCCTCCATTATCTCATAGGAGAACCCCCCCCCCCATCCAAGTCAACCACCAACCATCTTTCCACTGCTGCTGAACTGCACTGCATTTATCTTGTTAAGTGGTTTTAGCTGACCCAAGTTGCTCAATTATCACTAATAGCTGACACAGGAATAACTAGAATACCACTGTTTGTGCAAAAGAGGAATGACTTGCCCAATCTTCTATATTGGAGCTGCACACGACACGACACTGACTGCTTTTTTTTTTTTTTTTTTTTTTTTTTTTTTTTTTTGCTTTTTCTGACTCTTCTTTCACCCTGTTCATCTTGTCTCATTATATCCAGTACAGCATATTCTCAGTCTTTGCTAACCTGTCAGATGTCCTCACAATGCGACGCCTAGAACCGAGGCGAGAGATGACAGAGCTGTCAACAGTGAGCAATCAGAAGACACACTCTGGCTGAAGCGCCTAAGCTCAGTTGAAGTTGAACCTAACAAAAGATGTGTGTGTGTGTGTGTGTGTGTGTGTGTGTGTGTGTGTGTGTGTGTGTGTGTGTATTGTGTGTGTAAATATGCAAATACACAAATGTTGCTTTGTCGCAACTGCACAGTTCATTGAAGGAGAGTGACTTGAAAGATGTTGTCCAACCATGTTGATCTGAAGAAACAGGAGTAGAGGGAGGAAGCAGGCAGCGGGCAAGCAAATCCTACAAGCACTGAAGCAGCTGAGGCAGTGGTGCAGGGCGACTATTTAACATTCAGAGACAGAAGTTAGAGGGATCAGGCTTGAACAGAAATGAAGCAACAAGCAACGTTCCTGTGTCCCAGCCATATAATACACTCCCATATTGAGGGTGGCACTGGCCTTCAGTCTTGGATTTGGAGTTTCCACAGAGGGGTGTGTGTTCTCTTACTGTTGGTATGTACTGTATGTCTGCGTGTGAGAGAGAGAGGAAGAGGCGCTGTGTGTGTGTTTGCTTGTGTGTATGTGTGAGTAAGAGGCAGAGAAAGTCAGTGTTTGTGTGTGTCAGACTGGGCTGTGCTGATACACAGTGGGATTAAGACCCCGTTGACCTGTGCCATGTTCCGAGAGAAGAGGCAAGGTGAGGGGCCGGTTGCATCAGCTGCACGTAGGTTCCCTAGTTATATCCCAAGTAGCCACTAATCCCGATTCACGCGTTGCTAAAATAGAAGCGGTGGCACCACAAAAATCTGTTACAACATAACCTCAAGTAACAACTAAGTAGTTAAGCAAGCAATAAAGCAGGTGCAAATGATACAAAGTCACACAGATGCACTCACTAACAGTAAAGCAGGATTTTTTTCTTTTTTTTCTGCACACAGCGTATCGTTTTCTTCAGTAGTCTCATGCCATTTTGCAACTTAAAGGACGACAGCAGTGATTTTCAATGTTTCTGTCCATTTACTACACATTACACTTCAACTAGTGTCCTCTTGACTTCTTATATTTTTAAATGGGTCTTTCCTTCTTTTTTTTTTTCATCAGGCACAATCTGGTTCCCATTCAGTTCCACGGAGTAAAAATCAACAGCTGAGACTTGCTTGACATATGTAACCCATCAGGCCTGTGTTTCAGTTTAGCAGAGTTACGTTATTGTGATGCACCCGAGCTACATTAGCATGTGATGAAAATGTAACTGAAACAACAATAAAACCAGATGCTGCTTTCACTCTGATGGATTTCTTATTGCGGAATTGTTTCCAGTCTCAGCTTATTTGTTTTTGTGCTATGGTACAATAAATAAAGAAACAATGGCTGCCTGGAAGGAAGGAAAAATACATCCCAAAACACAACAGTGTGCTGTGTGGGAAATGGTCCGCAGTGATGTGAGTTATAACATGATTTGTAGAGAATGGACTAAAACATGCAAAAAACAGTGTTGTCCTTTAAGAGTCAAATATGGATTCTGCTTACCAATCGCAATTTTTATGCCAATGTAGTAACTACAAATCAAAGAGGTTTGTACCCATCAGCGAAGGTGGAGCTCTCACTGACCAGCTACTCATTGCAAACCCTCATGTTATAACTGCACAGCTGTAGAATTCCCCCCCGTTAGTACCTGTGGTACAGTCCAATTTAGAAACTTGCTATTTGCAAATGAACTAGCAGTCATGAAGCCACTACTTAACTTACTAACTTACAATTAACTTACAATAACCTGGGAACAAACTTGCGCATAGTTGGTGCAACCCAGTCCAGATCCTCAGCCTCAGAAATGTGCTATGTTACACTGAAACAGAGCTCTTATCAGAGTGTGGTCCCGTTTATCTCAGCCACCCTGTTCTCTTAAAGGTGCTAATCTCATGGTACATATACTGTATGTTGTGACTTTTTCAGTTTTAATTCATTTTTCTTACAAAAGACCACATTATCTGGATTTCTACAAGGTCTCCATAATACTGAAGACAAAAGCCTCTGTTTCATTTTTTAGTTTGGCTTCAACTTCACCTCCAACCAGGTGAGTCAAAAAGTAAGGGGGCTGCATAAAGACAGAGATGCCAACACGGGCAGCCTCAGCTGACAATGGTCAGATACAAATAGTACACCTTTTCAGGTGTTTTTGTTTGTCAGTGTACAAACTGGGGTGGGGGCAGTAAATCACAGAAAGGCTAGTGTAATCCAATAAATGGCTTTCTGTTTGAATTTGGTCCAGCCTTCAGATGAAGTTTAGCTAAGAACTTTTGTTTATCATAAACTTTGGCTGAAGTTTTGGGCCAAAGAAAGCGAGAGAACCGTTAGTTTAGGAAGGTTGATGATGTGGGGAGCCAGACCTGGTCTAATGAGGGATTGGCCACTGTACAGTGTCTATGCAAATATGGTGCAAAGAGGCTCCCTCGGTTCTACAATATGCATTTAGCTTTTTTTCTGGCTCTGAAATTGGGATGATAGTTTGTTGGTAGCTCTGTTTTCAGGCCCCCCTCCTCCTTTATTCTTCACCCCCATCATCCTTTCCTTTATCCTTCTTGTCCTTCTTGTCCTTCTTCTTCTTTTTCTTCTTCTTGGCCTCCTCCTTCTTGCCGAAGCTTATGAAGTCACCTTTGTCGTCCACAGGCCCGGCGTCATGGCGGATAGAAATGATGGCTGGGGATCCAGGTATGATGAAGGCTTCGGGAGGAATCTCTCCAGGCTTTAGGGGCTGGGGAGGACCGTATCCTGGTCCGGCGCCGTATCTGAAGTGCCAGCTGTTGCTGTTGACTCCAGCGCCCACTGGAGGTGAAAGCTCCCCACCACCCTCACCATCTACACAGGTATGAAGGGGAAACAATGGAAAGACAACATGTCAAGTGCAGGCAATCATTACATGTATTCAGGTATCATGATAACCACACTGGTCCCTTCAGGCTACAGTCTGACATTTTGGGAAACAGGGATATTTGATTTTCTGTCAAGAGTTAGATGAAGAAACTGACACCACTCAAGTCTGTACAGTAGTAAAGTGAAGCTCAGCATGAAGAGTGGAGGCAGGAGGAAACACCTGGCCCAGGTAACAACATCTGACATCTCAAAAAGCAAAGCATAAAAACTGGGGGGTTACACAGGATATTCCACTGCAGCCTGGTCAGTATGGAAAAATAATCTCCCAGTTTGATTCAACATTGACTCATAAAGTCCAGAATCTCTTCATTTTAACTGGATTAAATAATTGATTCAAATCAAATTGATCCTTGATGATCCAGTGAAATCAGATAAATACAAATGTTACACAAAGTGCTTCTTAGAGTTTATCCTGGGAACTTACATTTCTTATACAGTCAGAGCAACACTGCTGTTTTCTTGAATATAAAATTGGGTAACATGCACATTATTGGCTAAACACATGTCCCAGTCATGACACTGTCCCACATGATGCATTTATGTGTTTTTATCCGTACGTGTGCAAAACAGTTGAGCAAGAATAATAAAATAAACCTGCACCACTAACACGGGCGTCATATTTAAAAGAAGTAAATATGCTATCCCATACAGCTACACGTGGACTGCACGTGTCCACTTTGAGCACAGACTGAACAGAAAGTGAAAGTCTGTTTCATCCGCACTGTTTGTCATCAGCCTGATATCTGCAGACAGTTGTTAGCTAGCATTAGCTAGTGTTAGCTAACCAGCAGGGACAGACTGAATAAAGTAGAATCCACACATTGTTCTTTAGATTAGATTAGATTAGATTAGATTAGATTAATTTTATTAATCCCACAACTGGGAAAGTTCTCTTGACTTCTGCGGCGTCACATCTCATAGTCAGAGATAATATCTCTTCAACAAACACAAACAGAGATGAGATTGACGTGCAGTTTTTTCTTGTAGATGTTTTCTCTGGATCGTTGGATCCCAACCGTTTCCAATTCATGGCCCACTCTCAAAAATGTTGGTGGCCCACGTCCGACCCCATAAACTCTTCCTGTTGCTAACCAGCTATCTATTTAGATACTCCAGTTGTTGCTATGGATGTAATGTTTTAGAAACAACTGCTCTAGATCTGCTAAGAGATATCCAGGGTTAGCTAACCAGCTAACCTCAATGCTCCTGTCAAACTGCAGCAGGTCAGTTTATAAGAGTGTTGTGACTCAGGGCGGCTCATACAGCAGGTATCATCTACATTACACTTTACACATCATGCAGTTCTAACAGTCACCACTGCAGACCTATTACATTTAGCACAGATGTACATGTTTACTGAGAAAATGTGCAAATCCATTGATGGATCTTAGGACTGAGGATCATTTCAAATAGAATCACAACTAATCAGAATTTTTTTCTTCTGCAGCCCAAGTAAATCGCCTCATTAGCTTTGACATTGTGAATTATTTTTGCAATAACTGTCCTGCTTGAGATGCATTGATCAGATACTTAGACTATATTCTTTGGTCTTTCAGAGGTTCATAAATCTGACACATACATGTGAACCAAAATCAAGCAGCAACGAGCAGAGAAACAGCCTGACAACAGAGCGATGGCCACAGGCAGTGAATATTTTCAGGACAGTAGTTCAGCTGAGACCACAGGAGGGAAGACTGGAGGGGACTAACCTTTAAACTGCAGGAATGCTTAACTTGGCAAAGTGATTTGTATTTGTATTTGGATGTTGGAAGCAGCATAATCCTTCTACCTCACAGGAGGCCAGCGACAGGGATTCAACCTTTAGTGCTGGAGCATGATGTGACAGAGAAAGGAGGAGCCCAGAGAGCAAGTCCAAAAAGAAATAGTAAAAAAACTGTCAGAGGATAGGATTTATATATAGAAAAATTATTATGTAAAGTGAAAATAAGACAGCTATTAAGGTCAAAAGGTTAAAGAGGATGTGAAAGGAGATGAAGAGGGAGAGGGAAAGAGAGAGAGAGAGAGAGAGCGGGAGAGAGACACTAAGAAAGATGGGGTGGGCGGGTTTTGCAGACACGGTGCTCTCAGGCCCACACCAGTTCCCGCTGCGCTGACCTACTTTCAGTCTGGATTTTATTTAGATCAAACACGAGCCCTTGCAAAAAGATTCTGTTTGATTTTTCTTTATAGGCTATTTATGACATTGCTGGAGTACTGAGATGTTTCAACCACAGTCCCATAGGGAAGTACACTATTTTGAAAATACTCACTGTCCGTACGCACAGTGTCCCACTGAGTCCCCACAATGAGTTCAATGAGTATGAAAATACATGTATGGACTGTAATAAGACTTGATGTAATGGACACTACCACTCTAGCTCTGCACTTATTGCAGCTGTACAATAATAGAATTTTATATATACCTCAAAGAGCAGTGGACACCTTCTTTAACGGAGCGATTATTTGTTATTGAGCCATGACTCACTGCAAACTGATCATAATTTAACTGCTAGTACGATGCAGTCAAGGATGTTTTCAATATAGCAGAGGTCAGGCACAGTATTGTGGCATTTGGTACCATGGCAACAACATTGTGACAGGAACTTAAGACACAGACACACATAAATAATTTGTTTTGTACTTGCAAAAATAGAACGATTCATTTTTAACTTGCATTAAAATAAAATAGAACATGAAAGACCAGGATAAGGCAATTGCTAAAATCTTACAACTCAAGTCATTGCTACAAAATAAAATCAAGATCACATTTTACACATTTTTACAATATCATTTTTTGAAAAGGAAAAACAAAACAACTGCAGCTAATTGACTGAAGTAATTCAGCTTGTTTAACGAGTCAGTGTCAGATGTTACCATCATACATTAGCATTGGTGGAGTTAGTGCTGTAATGCTGTAATGCTGGTCTGCTTCTGAGGATTATGACATTTGATGGTATGGTCTGTATTTAATCTGGGTATTAAACCCAGGAAGAGGTTCCAGTATTTGAAATAAGTCCCATTCATTTGCTATCAATGCTTTAGGAAGGAAGATGGCTTCTCGTGTGGAGGAGGACGAACGCTTAAAATAAACTGAAGACAGTCAATGAGTTAAAGATGTGCAGAAGACTGTGAGGCAGAATGTGGATGAGCTTATTGAGCCAGTAACACAGTTCATTGTGCTGCTGTAAACAATGCACCTCCATTTTATATAAGGGACACATCAGTTCCTGTTACCTGAGGCTGCTGTTGAAAGGACAGAGAGCTGATGTGTGTGTGCAGGCACACACTGAGACTTGTGTGTGGACATAATAAATCTATGCTTATTGAGTCAGGTAGGCTTTGACCTGCTGAACTGAGTATTGGACAAATTTTCATGGTAAAATAAATAACATCTACAATATAGTTTAACTTCTGCTGTTTCAACTTCTTCCTTTCGTTACAGTAAATTCGTCCGAAGAGAGTCAGAGTCATGTGTCATGTGTGTGAGACGCTGCACTGGTAGTAATGCTGCAAGCTGCTCTTTACTTACTGTGTTCCTGCAGTGAGGAAAATTGAACACCATCACAGCAGTGTGTTTTTTGGCTAACATACACCTGATGGACTCAGAGCAGCTCACATGCCTATGACTGACCACCTGAGCTGAACCGCCATGTGGTTGTGAAGCGTCTCATCAAGTGAATATTGTCTCGTCATCCTGGGACTTCCCAGGGTTTCTGCACTGGCCGTGACAAATCCAAACTCCTGACGCTGTTAATTAAAGTCCTGGCCCAGGTATTAACCTGAGATAGTCCTCCGTGTGTGTGAAAAATGAATTCATAACGAGCAGGTCATGTGACAGCATGGAGGAGTTGGTACAACTATGAAGAGCTTTGCTTCCTCTCTACTACGATTTCTCTAACATGGAGGATTGTTTGTAACTCTTGGCTTCATATAAGCTGATACCTCACAGCAGATGTGTGTCTGAGATGGATGATAGTGTAACCACTGGTAAGCAGGGCAGTATGGCTCCTTGTGAGGATGTTGCCATGACACCTGGTGTCGATGCGTGGGTGTTTGAAGCCTCATTTCATGTAACCTGATGTCCTACATCTAAAATAGGCTCTGTAATTTTCTGTCTGGTCCAAGATACGCTTCCATCTAAATGAATCCCTCTGGTGGTTTCTAGCACATGCATAAATCTGACGGTGGTGTAGAGGCTGTGTGCGGTACATCACATGTATTCTGCATGAGGCACGTCAACCTAAAGCATCTGTCCTACAGTATTTCCTCTAAATTACAGCGTGCCCTCTTTTTCCTCTTAATACCTGCCCTTGTCGAGTCCCCGTCCCCTCCCTGCTCCCAACTCCTTCCTTTTCTCTGTCTCTAAATCTTCCATTCAGAGATATGACTGGTTGCCATGGAAACTGCCTTCGCCCACTCCCTGCTGATGGAGGGTGCGGCTGCTGCAGCAATCTCTCAGTTAGACAGTGTTGCCAGGCAACAGGTCACATGGCGTTCCCTAGCAACAACACTACTGCAGGAACCTGCCAATCCTCTTAACCTTTCTCTCTCTCCATCCCCCCATACCTTGCTTTTTTTTTTCTCCATCCCCCTGAACGTCTCCTCTGCTCTTCCTCTCCAAAATTGCTTTTAATGTTACTGGATCTCTCTCTTTTTTTTTAATCGTGGCTCTTATTACTGATAAATGCTTCTCTCGCCCTCTGGCATTAGACAAATGTCTCCTCGTCTGCACCATGGGTCACTTACATAAACACAGTTTTGAGGGTGCCGCGTTTAGATGCATCACAGCATATCGGACATTTTCATCATAATAACAAGTCACTGCAGAAATGGAAATGTGTCACACAAAAAAAGGCTCCACCTCTTGATGCATAGAAAAGAGGATCAACCTGCAATCCAGTTCATGTCTGAGCCTTCCCACTGAGCCACTCCTAACAAATTACTTCCTAATGCAACAATGCACCCCTGATGGATCTGCGGTACGCTGTGCACTCTTCTTCAAGACAATAATTTCAGTCTTTACATGACCAGAGAGGCAGGTTTCCATCTGCTCTCTGCAGCAAACTGGTTCATAGAAACTGGAACTGGTGCAGCGTGTATCTCCAACAATCCCCCAGCTCCCTGCTCCACAGAGAGAAAAGACATCACACATATGTGTTTGCTGCCAGACAGTAAGACATAATCTGTCACTGACTCGTCAAGTGATTGACTGTGATGCTGCAACTTCACCCTCAAGTCTGTACCTACAGTTTGTTCTAATTCCTGCAGCGAGACAGAAAATCAATGAGTGGTAGCTGGGAGGAGAAAAAAGAGGGAATCACACAATCTGAGTCTTCCAGTCAACCAACAGCCACCCACAACGTTTTCTGTGCTTCTCCACGAACAGTAGTACTCCCAAATTTTATTAGTCATTAGCTCTGAGCTGTTGTTTCTGTGAATGATGAAGCACAGGTCATTTTCAAGGCTGGCTCTATTTACGTTTATCTTCTGCTGCTACACATTTTTAGTGTTGCCACCCACTCAGGACAACTCATCTCTTATTAAAAAACATTTGCCTGTTCTGTCTCCATGCTGCTCGCTGCTTTATGGGACGTTACTGTTGTTTATCTGTGACTCTGTATAAAGGCCTCAGGCTTTTAGCATCTCAGCTAATTTCTGTATGAACATCACAACATCATGTGGATTTTCAAAGCGAACCAAAGTAAGGACAAAGATGAACTCGACTTCATGAATTCAATCTAATGCCCTGAACAAAGGTAAAAACAATCAGCTGACTGCTGCCTCAAAAACTCACTCAATATAAAAGTGTTTCTTGTTTCTGAAACCTTTTTACTTCAACTTGGATTTTTTACACTTTGGTTTTTGTAAAGATTAAACAAATGAGATATAACATTTAATTACTGAGCTTTAGAGGGGCTGGTTTTATTTTTTTAGACAGAGCCAAGCTAGCTGTTCCCCTGTTTCCAGACTTTATGCTAAACTAGGCTAACCAGCTGCTGGTTCTACTCATCCATCAAGTTTTTTAGCACAAACAACCAAGGTTGTTTATTCAGTCTTTATTTGGAGGAATATATTATCTCAAATTCTTACTTAGAAATGTCATCCTGTCTTCATAATACTAATAAAAGATACAGAGATACAAGCAGCAACAAGCCTTTCAACAAGTAGCTTCAGGGCATGAAGACATTTCAGTGCTTTACATCCTATTCTTTTGACACATTTTGAAAATCTGATCTCAGTTTTTACAGTTTAAATCTGTATTACATTAGCAGGTAAAATGGGTGAAATCAGTTACCTGTTACTGACATCACTATTGGCTATTGGATATAGACATTCAGGTGTTTTTTCACACGACATCCTGCTGTTCGTCCCCTCACCTGCAGCGCTTGAAACAGTGGGCCAGTTCTGGACGAGCATCCCCTGCGCTCCCTGCATCACAGAGGACTCCTCCATGTGGACCGAACTGAAAGACACGACACATTCAGCGAAGTCAGAACAAACATCAAAACAAATGTTTCCTGATTATTCTGAGCTCTGACCTCACGCTGATCACGTCCTCCTTAAACATCTACACATTACAGTAACATCATTTCAGAGTAGTTAGTTTCAGGCTTCAACAGCCTAGTTGCCAAGGGCAACCAATTTGGACTACCATCACACTTCTTCCTTATCACCTTGTTGCCCCTGGCAACCAATTCCCACTTTTCTTATTTAAAAAAATAAAAGAACATCCCACCCGACACGCTGAATCCTCTGCCTTAAAACGATGTGACAAAAGGCTTTTTACCGCAGCGAAGGAGCTAAATGGAATTCAGCCGTCATCCATTTTATTATTTACACCTGTGCTCTTCCTGCTGTGACATGTCGAAATGTCTTCAGTGCATGTTGCCTATCCTTGCGGAAGAGGATATGGCAAGTGTTTTAACTCTGGTTTGTCTCTGCTGAGACGTGTTTTTGAAGTAATCTAAAACAGTTCTGGCTCCGATGAGAGAAACAGAGATGGTTCAGACCCAGAGCTGCTTTTTTACCAGGTTGTTTATTGACTTCATCTAATGAATTGCCCCTGACACCTGTTCTTATCGCTTCATTAAAAATCTGTTGCTGTGGACCAGGATCTAGAACAACTGGTGGCAGATGTTTTTATCATCCCAGTTGATATAATCAAGTTCCTGTCAAGTTACTTCATCCAAAATCTCTGCCTCTCTTCTTCATATCACTGGTGGGTGGTGGTCAACTTTAGATACTGCAGCCTGACTGTATTACCACCCATTTAATAGTCCACAGTCTCAGTGGAGAAGTGACTGGATCTCCATATGCGGACATGCAGGTGCCCCTTTTAAAAGTTTCACTACAGAAGGTTCAGTGTCTTCAGCTTCATTCATTTAGTGGCTCCAGTAGGACGTTCTCTTGTTGTTCCCTTCGTCCAACAGATGAAGAAGCTCAGCATGTTGTTTTTGCTGTTGGAGCTCTGTTCTGCTAATGCAGCTGCTTCACAGTGACACCAGTTGTACTATGTCAGGATCTACATTTGGACATTTGGATGAATGAAGAGGGGAAAATGCAATACTAAAAGAAATAAAGATAAGCAACATCTAGTGTTGCATATGGACAAGTGGTCAGTGTTGTACCGTCATCACCCGTGCTAATGGAAATCCACATTAGTGTTGCACACTCTGGACATGGTCATATGTATTCAGACAACGCTGCATCAGTATTAACTCCAACATTCACCTGAAGGCAAGGCAACATTTAGACAGTGCATGTTTTATTGTGCTTCTTTTGTTTTTTCATCTCTCGACATACATTAGATCAAAATGATTTTACACAGTAAGTTGGGATAAATGACGTATTTAATGTCAATAACTTAATGCTGTTTTCAGCTGATAGTTATATTTTATGGTTTGGTAACTATGTGTATAAAAAGTAGGACACTATTAAAAAAAATTCACAACACAGTCTCAACATAGACAGTTGTGATGGCACTGAAGTGCAGTTCTTGAGGTTTCAGATGTTTTTATTTTTTTCACTGGATGTGAAAACCCAGAGGCCGTACTTTGATTCAGCTGAGCTGGGGGGCAGACAGCACTCAGAGAGATGGCTCTGCAGAAACACTTCCTCCTGTTTCACTGTAAAGGTTCACTTTCATTTTGTGATGACAATTAGAAAACTGTTAACTGATGTTGCATGTTTGAAAATTGTACTTTCTATATCTCTGGCAGATATAGAAACAGATATTTGAACAAACAGATTCCAAATATGCTCCACAGCTTGTATTCTTGCTCTGACATTTTGTAACTTTAATTAAATTCAATTTCCTTTTTGCAACGTTCATAAATTAAATAAAAGTGACAGTGAGCAGCTGGTTATCTTAGCTTAGCATAGAGACTGGAAACAGCCAGCCTCTGTCCAAAGATAATCTATAACTTCCTGGTGCCTTGCCATCCTGTGAAGCTGCCAAGCAACCAGCAAAGAGACAAGACACACAAGACACACTCCCACCTAACACCACAACTTGTAATTTTCACACTTTATTATACGGTTGTACAAAAGGTGTAAACGTGTGTGTGCAGACATGTTGTTTTGTTGGGAAGGGTGAATAGTTTGACATTTTATCAAATACTTTTAGCTGCTTTCTTACCAGGAGAAGATTGACACCTCTCTCATGTCTACCTGCTGAATGTGAAGCTACAGCTTGCAGCTGGTTAGTTTAGCTTAGCTTAGCATAAAGACTGGAAACAGAGGGAAACAACTAGCCTGGCTGTGTCCAAAGCTAGCAGCACCTCTAAGGCTCACTATGATATAAACGTGCTTGTTTTAAGTCATACAAAGTGTAAAAATGACGAGTTGTGGGTTTATTTAGTGGTAAATGTGTTAATGTTTACTGAGGTGTTACCTTGTTGTAGTACATGCTGAGCCCCCCCCCCCCCCCCCCCAATACAGTCATAATGAATACAGAGCTCACTGTACGGCAGGACCTGCTCTGACAGGGGCCTCTGCAATGCAGCACATCCAGCATCTATCTCAAACACACTTGTTATGATGAATAGGGATTTGTCATGAATATAAAATGTATTTCTGAGCAGTGTGAGTTTCAGGCTTTTACATAAGCAGAGGTGCATGCACTTTAATGTGTGAGAATATGACACAGATAGGACTGGTGTTTTCTACAGTGGATGACGACACCAGGAATGTGGGTCAGTGATGTTGGTGCTACAAAGTTGCGTGTAGTGTGAGACATTACAACATGCGTGTGCTAAGTGTTAATGTGAGCCGTCTCTGTGTCCGTGTGTGTTACAGGCACTGCCATTTTAGAGACGGCAGCGGCAAATTGCGGTGATGATGTATGTTAAACCATGTCATGTTACAGTGACTTGATGACATGATGCACATTATGATACCCTCCCTCCATAGAAATTAACACTAATATCCAATTAAATCAAACGTAGACGGAGCAGAAGAGTCCGCCACTGAGCAGTGAGCATTGTTAGCATGAAATTATCAAAATTCGGTGCAAAGGACAGACGTGTGGAGGAAAAACTCATTAGTCTGTGACGTTCCAGCTGTCCTCATATCAAATTAGCAAAGCACTTCATTACAAATGCAAATAAAACAACACCATTTTATTCCAATTGTTGTTGAATCTTTTTCATTTCAGTAATCTCTATTTTGCAGAAGGTAACGAGAAAGCCGACGTGTGTTTTACTGTATTTACTCAGAAATGCTCAAATATTCTTATAAGAGCAAGGAAACTACAAACACACAAATAATAACCTGGATAAGCTTGAACCCAAACTTAACCACCATTTACACGTGGTTCTAAAAGCTCCATTAAGTCTGTTTCTGTGTAATATTTAGTGTTCTATAGTGTTTCTATCTATTTTCAAATCTATCTATAACTGAGATTTGCTCAGGCAATAAGTGCATGAGCGTTTGCCCTGTGAATGAACAAGTATGACTGGAGTCTGTCCTCTGCTGTCTGACTTCAGCACGTCTCCCCTCATCTCCACACAAAAACATCTAAATACACACAGAAAGGCGTGTGTGTGTGTGTGCGTGCGTGCGTGTGCGTGCAGGCAGGGACACACTGATGTGTGCAGCTGATAATCTGAGAAAGGTCAGAGTCAGCTCATTTGTCCTTCATGCTTCCTGCTTAAAGACTGTAACTGGGGGAGGCAATGCTCAGAATGTAAATGGCCTATATAGTGTTACACTGCAGAGCAGGAGGGCTGTGCATCCATTGATGGGAGCTGCACACGGCTTTTCCCAAAGAAAGAGGATGAGGTTCAAGCAGATGCTGATAATGACTGATTCTTAGCTGCAGTCTTATGCTGCAGTGTCTTTTTGTCAGTAGAGGTCATTGTGAGCAGCAGGTATCTGCAGGAGGTCTAAGGTGTGACTGTAACTGTGGTAAAGAGCGACGTGAGGGGTCAGTGTGGTGGGAGCACAGACATGATGCACACAGTGAGGGAGGAATGAATCAGTGTAACTTTCTCTACGTGATTAAAAGTAGCAAAAGAGTTAAATATGGAAAGTGCTTACCTCTGCACCCCTGCCCTCAAAGATGCAGAATATCGCCAGTCAGCATTCGGGGCTTTTGGCTGAGCGAGCAAGAGGTAGAGAGAGAGAGAGAGAGAGAGAGGGGAAAGATGCAGAGACAGAGAGAGAGGGAAGAGGGTGAGTTTAGTTTGATCTCATACAGTGCAGAGCCAGGCTGGGCCATGGTCTCATCAATTAATCATGATACACATCCAGCTCTGGACGTGGGAGGAACACTGCAGTTGTGTCCCCCCGTTTCAAACACACACACACACACACACACACGCGCACACATATTGGCAACCACACAAGGACCTTAAAAAGGCCAGTGACTGGAGGCCATATTGATGAGTTTTTGGACAGTCTCTCACTCAGCGGCTCTATAAATGTGAGAGCAGGGAGAGTGATGCCCTCGCCCTGAGTGCTGGGGTGTCTCCACACACTGATGTGGATGTGTTTGTGTTTGTGTGCAACTGGAGTGAATCGCTTTGCTCCTGATGAACCTGGCTGAGTGCTGGAAACTCCTAAAAGCCCTCTTGTGAATTATTGCCTTTAGAAAAAACAATAAGCAAGAAGCATCATCGCCAAGGCAACCACATCCTCTGTTCTGTAGCTCAGCGTGAAGAGCAATCACACACAAATCTTCTTCATATAATATTCTAATCTTCTTCCATCTTTCTCACTTTGCAGATGTTTTGATCCTGATGTTTCTCTCACCAAAACTTTAATCATTAAACTGAAACGACTCTAGAGACACGTGTCTGGGAGGACAGGAACATGTCTGCAGTAAAAACCTCACAAACAATATGATATTTATGTATTTATGTAATATATGGGTGAAATTAAAATACACTCCCTGGGCAAAGTCTAAATATTTAATTGATTTTAAATGACCCTGCATTATTTTTAATAGTGTTGAGTGACTTCCAGATGTTGGACGGGACATTCATGTAGCTTTGATGATAGCCACATTTTTACTAATGATTTGGTCTTTAAGTTCAAAGAACCATATGAAACTCATGGGGGGAGAAAGGCGTATTTTTAATGAGCTAATCCCCCATGTCTGACCCTTTCATAATGATCTTCCTCATGAGTAGGTACTGTGCACATGCACCGCCTGAAATGACTGAACATTTGTGTTACAGCTACTGCTAAAATCTGTCAGCTTCATGTGGGTTGCAGCTTCAGATCTCAAGAACACTGAATAAGAAAAGCTGCGTTTGAGACACAAACCTGCTGAAGCAGTGGCAAATGTCCCAGATAAAGATGGCACATTATGTTCCTCAGTTCAATTCAGAGGGGAGTATTTTCTGCTGGTAGACAGCCTCTTTGACTAAATCTAATTTGCAGGGCTGAGGAACACAGGCTGGAGGTTAATTTAATTTACACTGCTACACTTGTCTGTGAGAGAGATTTCCTCATTGTGTTGCTAATGTACCAGAGACTGGTATCTGATCATTAAGATGATGCATCCAGAGCTAATTTCATAACCTCAACAATCTGCTAATAAAAATGATATTATTGAAGTATTTGAACCATCAGTCTCTTTCCTCTCAGGCAGAAACGCAGAAAATATCTCCTTAAATCTGAGACTAACAAACATGAAGATTTCAGTGACTGAACAAATGCTGCACAAATGTGCAATATTTTTTAGATGTTACCTCAGTATTACCAGTGTTTTAGTCGTGACTGTTGGTATTTATTTAATATTTCATGTTACTGCTGATATGACGTCTGAGAGACTACATCATTAGGATTATGGATGTTTACCTGAAGATTTAGAAAACCTGTATCACTAAAGTGTAAGAGTGTCAGAGTAGGAACAGAAAACATTCATAGCTGTAATGACAAACTCCATGACTGTATCTAGTCTCATCACAGTGTCAGCACTGAGAAGATGCAGATATCTCTCACAGTCAGAGGGAAACAGGCAAACCCAGTCTGATTCAAGGCCTCTTCAACAACTAGTCGTGTGGAGGTTTAGATCAAGTCAATTAACCCCAACTGCTCCAGAGTAACTGTTCAGCTTTACTCACTCTCTCTCTCTCTCTCTCTCTCTTTCTCACACACACACACACACACACACGCGCGTTCAGCCCGCTTGCACAGGGAATGAGCCAGTAGTGCAGACAGCGTGACCTGTTCTTGGTGTAGATGTGATGACAACCTCAAACTGAAACACAAATCTCTGAATCATCAGAAATAACACAGGAGCCTTGAAAAGCATCAGCACTGACACTAATGCAGTGTGAGAGCTGAGCTGAGCCGAGCTGAGCCGAGCTGAGTGACTGCACAGTGCAAGTGGGAAGTGAACAAAGAGGGGGACTACGAGTTTTCAGTTCATCGCAGGAGAGGATCAAACTAGACTCACAGGAATACCATCAGCCTGCAGCAACAGAAAACCACAGACAGAAATAATGACAACAATACAAACTGTGGCAATAACCTTAAGGAAAAGTCATGTTTGGTATATGCACCTAAAAGGGTCTTCTGTTGTTTGCAACTAAATAAAATTTCATTAAAGAGTGAGTCAGGAGTAAACATGATGATTCATGACCTTCCAGGTATGTGGACAAAGATAAACATAAAGAATTAATGACGCACCTCTGGGCAGATTTGCAGCGAGGCATCAGGCATGCTCAGTCTGCGTACAAATCCACTTCCACTGGTGAAGAAGCGGTCGGCACCGCTGCCCCAGGTGCCGCTGATGGGACGTCCCGTGTTGTAGAACATGAAAGTGTCACTGCCGGAGGTGGCTGTCAGGCAGGTCTTGTAGCAGTAAGTCTTTGTGAGGGAGCCGTTCCCACGCACTTCGATGTAGTGAGGCTCCACTTTAAGGTCTCTACGGAGCACCACATTGTTATTAGGTTGTGCCCCGGCCGCACCACCGCCTGCCCCACCAGCACTGACGCTGCTGCTCCCACCGTCTGGAGGGGGCTTCTGTGACACACAGCAGGGGGAGCAGGACCCAGGCTGGGTGCAGTAGGCGTGACAGCGGACAATGGCCAGCACCACCACAGTGACCAGGAAAACAAAGGTGGTGGCACTCAAAGCCACGATCAAGTAGAGGGTGACGTTGGAGAAGAGCAGTGTGCTGTGAGGTCGGATGATCCTCTTGGGGTCTGGAACCACTTTGGGCGGCACCTCCATGACGGCCACGTTGATGGTGGCCGTGGAGGTGAGAGCAGGCTGCCCGTGGTCCTTCACCACGACCGTCAGAGCAAAGGAGGTGGAGTTGTCCTCCAGGATCCTCCGGGTGGTTCTGATCTCCCCGGTGTGTTCGTGCACCTTGAACAGGTCCAGGTCAGTGGCCGTCTCCAGCACGTACACCAACCAGGCGTTTGGACCAGCGTCGGCGTCGTACGCCACCACTTTGGTCACCAAGGCCCCAGGCTCTGCGTTCTTTTGTACCGTCTCCAAGGAGCGCGTGCCATTGCCAGGAGGGTTGACTATCAGCGGTGCATGGTCATTCTGATCCATTATGTAGATGTAGACGGTGGCGACGCGGCTGAGCGGAGGAATGCCCCCATCTTGGGCTTTGACCTGGAAGTGAAACTCTCTCAGTGACTCATAGTCAAAGGCTCGCAGGGCATACGCCTCCCCAGTATCGGCCTTCACGGACACATAGGAGGTGACAGGGATGCCGTGGTTGTTGTCATTGAGCACTGTGTAGGTGATGCGAGCGTTCTCCTTGATGTCTGCGTCCTGAGCTTTCACAGTACACAGAGAGGCCCCAGGGGCGTTGTTCTCAGCCACATACACCGTATATGAAGTCTGCTCAAATCGCGGCGGGTTGTCGTTCACATCCGCCACATCCACCTGTATGGTCTTCTGGGAGGAGAGGGGGGGGTTTCCTCCATCTGTGGCACTCAGAGTGACGTTGTAGGCATCAGTGGTCTCGCGGTCCAGAAAAGCTGAGGTAACCAGGGTGTAGTAATTTCTGAATGACTTGATCTTGAAGGGGAGGCCTGCTGGGATCTCCAGGCTCACCTGCTTGTTCGCGCCAGAGTCTCGGTCAGTCACACTAATGAGGGCCACCACTGTGTCCGCGCGGGCGTCCTCCCTCACCGGGCTCGACAGGGACGACAGCACGATCTGAGGGACGTTGTCGTTCACATCCACCACCTCCACCACCACCTTACAGTGCGCTGCCACGGCCCCGGGGCCCTTGTCCATCGCCTGGATGTACATCTCATAGGAGTTGGTCTCTTCATAGTCCACATTGTTCCTCACTCTGATCTCTCCTGTGTTGGTGTCCATGCTGAACATCTGCCTCACTCTCTCTGGAGTGTAGCTGCTGAAGGAGTAGTACACCTCTCCGTTCGTGCCCTCGTCCAGATCAGTTGCATTCAGTTTAATTACCAGGGTGTCTTTGGGTGAATTTTCCAGCAGCTTCACCTTGTACACTGAGCTGTCGAACAGAGGGACGTTGTCATTGGAGTCCAGGACCCGGACATTGATTTTAGCTGTGCCTGTTTTCTCTGGCGTCCCTCCGTCCACAGCACTGAGAATTAACTGGTGGTAAGGCGTCTGTTCACGATCAAGGGGCTTTTTGAGCACGAGCTCGATGTGCTTTGTGTTGAGGGAAGGTTTGTTGGACACCAGCGCGAAATGGTCGTTTGTGCTGAGCTGATACATACGAACTGAATTGGACCCGATGTCCGGATCCTGCGCGTTTTCGATCGGGTACCGAGACCCGGGTAAAGCGGACTCTGTGATTTCCAGTTGATACTCATCTCTGGGGAACTGCGGCGCGTTATCATTGGCATCCACAATCTCCACCTCGACATGGTGCACCTCGGTGGGGTTTTCGACCAGCACCTCCAGATTGATGAGGCAGGTGCTGGATAAATCACACAGCGCTTCCCTGTCGATCCTTTCATTGACGAGTAATTTGCCATTTTTGGGGTTGACAATCACGTAGCGTTTGCCGCTGTTGGAGGTTACCTTAATCTTTCGGGTGGCGAGCTTTCGAATATCCAGCCCCAAGTCATGCGCCAGATCACCGACCAGTGCCCCATTTTCTAGTTCTTCCGTTATAGAATATCGCAATTGTCCGAACGAAAGGCCACAAAATAAGGAAAATATCACAAAATAAAAAGGCACATTATTCCCTATCCAGTTGCATATCCCCGCCACAGCCATTGCAAGCTCATAGGATCCGCAGACGGATTAAACGCAGCCTTCCGCCTTTTTAGCTTGCAGTATCTTGCATCCCAGCACCTCATTAAGGTGGGCTAATTGGTCTCCCGGTAAATGAAACAGAAGCGGCTCATCCATTGTGTTTCCCGGCTGAGGTGAATCCTCTCCAGCGCACCCATATTTCCTTTGTCCGTGATGCGCTTTTTTGTCTCCAGTGCGCGCTGCTGACGGGTGTGTTTCCCTGCCGCTGGAGCTGTGAGGTTCGTCAAGACGGAGGAAATTCGGGCCGATGTCACCGGAAAAGAGGAGGGCACCTTTCAAAATAAAACGATAAAAGTGTCGCTTCTCTCCGGCACTGAGTGTAGTTGATAGTAACTGGAGCAGTCCCTGGTCACCTCCACCACAGAGGTTCTGTTTGCCCCGCTGCTTGTTTGTGTGTGTGTCAGCAGGATTACACTAAAAATCCTGACCCGATTTGCTCCAGACTTTGTGGAGGAATGAGGCGCGAACCGGGGAAGAACCCGGTGACCCTGATCTGGTTAAAGGGGCGGGTCCAGGGCTGTTTTTTTTTTTATCACTTTCTTTGGGGCGGGAATTTCTCCACATATTCGTCAATTTACCAGAATTGATGTTTGGATCTTGATGTAATAAAAACAACATATTTATGGTGTTGACATGGATGAGTAAGTCCATATAAATTTCAGTTTCTCAAAGACACTCCTCTGAGAGCTTTTTATAAACCATAGTTTATTTCTTCTAGTTTGTTAGTGGTTTGGTCATCAGGGGTTTCAGAGAGAATAAACCATCTCTTCTGCTGTATGAATCTGAAGACCATGGATAATGTACCGCAGGTGTCCTGTATGTTTATTGAACATGTTGAGATCAGTTATTTTATTTATTTTATTATTTTTGAGAAGAGAAACCGGAAGTTGTGTAATTCAGTGTAGGTGACTTGACTGAAGGACCGTATCCCACCCTAGCGCGCACTCAGACTCCAGCTCTCTCCTCTCCACGGTGGCGCAGCTCCCCTCCTCCCTCCCCACCCTCCTCTCTCCTCTCTCCTCTCTCCTCTCATCCCTCCATTGCGACGTCGGTGAATGGTCTGGGAGCTAATAAGGGACCAACACATGAAAGCACCTCCACTATAATGAAGACGACCACACGAAACTGCTATATGAATATTAATGTGCTCAGCCACCAGTCATTCAGCCATGAATCTGAAAAATAATGTTGGAAATAGGGAGGGGAGGGGGGAGGTGGGGGGGTGTATGAAGATTTGGCCCAAACGGTTCATTTACCGGATCCTCCGTTTGGACTGTTGCACAAGGTCATGACTAATGTGCGGAGCATTCAACATCAGCACCTGCTCTAACATGACACACAGAAGGAAGAGCGTGGCCGCAGCCGGAGACACTTGTCACGTTTGTCTTCCTTTGTCTGTTGGAGTCTGAGGACGGTTCTGTTGCCGGTAGCGACTCTGCGGCGCAGCCGCCGCATGGCGAGCGTTTGGCCGCGACGCAGCAGAACGAAAGCATCGCACTGACAATCACAACCTTCCCTCCACATGGCTCACTGTCAGTGGTAGACCTCAGACTGTCAGGTCACATAATCGTATTTAAGATGCCTGTGGTGGACCCCATAAAGCTCAAGTGTCATATCCTCTGACTGGAGTATGTCCTGAAGAGAAGCATGATATACGGTCTATATGAGCAGGAAACAAGACGCTGCTGATGGTGCGATGAATAAACACTGTGGCTGTGGGCTGTTAGTCAACATATAGCGTGTGGAGGAGCAGGATGTTTGCCTTTGTCATGTAGGAGATTCTTCAGACTATAATTCAGTGTTGTTTACATGGTTCAGTCTTTTATTTCAATTCCTCAAGAAACGCAAAATGTCCCGTTTTCTCGGACTCTCTAGGAATTAGCTGCACCAACTGAACAGCTATCAGATACAGTAAGAGGCTCCCACCCATTCCCAGATGTGCATGTTCACCCTCTTGTTGAACTGAAGGATCTCAGTTACACACAGGTGTGAATGTGATAGTCAAGATGAAATAACCAGGGTGTTCACTGTATCTCACCCAGAGCAGCGTGACAGGCTGCAGCCCCCTGAGTCCCTGCCCTGGATCAGCAGCTATAGAATATGAACTGATGGATATTTGGAAATGTTAATATTAGTGTTGATGTCTGAGGATATCAACAGTAATAGTTGAAGTGTAGACAGAAGACATGAAACAGTCTGGTTTGTCTGTTGTCTCATGGTTAAAGTCTAGTTAACCCTTCAGAGACCGTGAGAACCAGTCAATACAAAGCAGTTCTAAGGTGTTAACGTGTTAATGACAGTTCCCAGTTGTTAAAGGTGTTGTCACTCACAGCAGTAAGTCCTCCCTGACTGGTCTGATGAAACTGATCTAAATCACATGTATGTCTGTCCACCGAGCCTTCGTCTCATCAAGACAACATGTTACTCTGCTTTCTTTAAAATCTACTGTGACTCTTTTTGCCGTGATCTCACACAAACCTCTGTCTCAATCTGGAAAATAATGGTGGTTATAAAGAATGCACAGAGTCTGGATATCACATATCAACAGAGTATTATGAGATGTTTTGTGTTCATGTAGATGTGTATGAAGTTTGTGTCGGGTTTATTTCCATAGTTTCGATTGAAGCTGTTTAGAAATACCAACTGATCCGTCAGGAGGGTTATTACATTTTTTCACCTGTCGTGTCTCTATTGACACTTACACAAACCCGGAGTGTGTGTCACAGCACAGGAAGCATCAGCAAAGACTCAGTCAGCACCAGGAGCAGCTCCTCAGGCTCATACAGTGAGGGGATGGAGTGAAACAGTGCAGAGCCACAACGAGACACTTTACATCCGGACACAACAGTATCATTTATGTTTACATGCAAAAGGGAGTTTGATTATACATTTG